GATGAGGTATTTATGAGTTATAGATGGTATGGTCAAATGAGTGACTGCATATAAATAAAGACTAATCATAAATTTGTTCTTTTGCTGTCCACAACAATTATCTGAGTAAAATATGGTGTGTTTATTGGAACAAAATTCAGTTAAAAACTTATAAATACAGGTACTTATTTCATTCGCTCCCCTTTTGGCTTGATCTTCATTCCACAAGTAGCAGTTGGCCTCCACCTCCCCCATATTATAAACTGTTAAGTTATAAGTGGCAAATTTTCTTGAATAGTAAAAATTTGATACTTTGGCTGATGGTGTTGTTAAAACACTTTGAAGATCATAACATGCTACTATAGTACTATTTTTATTCTTTAATGCTAGCTCTTTATCATTACTTTTTCAACTCTGAATAATTCAATTTCTTGTTTACGCAATAAAAAATTTTGTTCTAGTTCACCCTTTTCATAGTCATTACTGTTATTAAATTTTTCACAAAATCCACACTGGTCCTTTTTAGGAATAAAAAATCCAATATTAAATTTAGTATTGAAAATATATGAATATGTAGAAAATTGACAAGATGATATTTTATTAACTTGATATTTTGTATCAAACAATCTCCACATCTCAGCAATAGTTAGTGATCCATCAATAAACTCCCTAGATGTTTGATTTCTCAAATAATGTGATTCAATGCGTGCAAATGAATTAATATGATCACAAATTTGATTTACTATTTCTGGTGCTAACTTTTTGTTGTTTCCATGTTTTCCTCTCAAATCACCCTCTACAAAATTAGTAAYTCTACCTCCTATTAACAATGCTGTTCTTAAAAATCTGTCTCCAATATTTAAGGTTGCAATAAAAATTTTTTTACATACTCTTTTATTTACATCATAAATGGGCAAAAAAAAACTGCTTTTGGATAAACGAGTAAATCCTTCTTTTTGATATTTGTATTTAGRCATTACAACAGTTGTATATTTTACAATATAAGCCCTTTGCTTAGAAACATCTGCCATTAGCCAAAATAATTCTAACAATTTTTCCTCGTGGTGTTTGTAAAATTTATCATTTTTATTAATGAAATAAATTATCAAGTTAAAATACTAATTTAATAAAATAAGAAACAAAACATAAATGTCCACGTACCACGTCCTAAATCACGAGTAACGAGTAAACACGTTATGCAGAAATGCAAAATACACTGCACGCATAGCACGCTAGCTGTAGCGTGTAAACAATGGCGCAGGTTAGATATTATATTAATAATAATAATAAATGTAAATGTTATCGTATAGATTATTTAATAATATAATGAACATTACTACTCGTACAATATTATATCGACGATTACTGTATTATTATCAAGATAAATGCGCCGAAACTAGAGRGAGTTACCAATAAACAATTTTATTAATATTATTTTATATTAATAGAAGCATAACATAACAAACAACAATTTCAGTGCAACCGCCAACCAGTTAGTATCTAAAATCATTATTGTAACGTTGTCATTGTTGATTACGAGAAAATAAAACCGTGATAAAACCACTTTATCAATAAAAATKTAATACTACACTGCCATGGTTTGAGTTATTGTATTTAAAATTATTATGATACAAATGAAAAACTGCCACATACCTAACTATGGCAGTCTTCAATATTACTTTTAAGGTCACTGGTAATAAAAATAAAAATTATAAACCACCATGAACATAATTATGGCGGTTTTGAATTTTAAAAACATGTTTAAATTTTTTTTTTAACTCAAAGTAATACACGTGTACCTATTAGAAATGTGGCAATATTACATTCATTAAAACAAAAAAAACAAAAAATGTTATACTGACACAAATCTGTGATACTGAATCTAATCATGATATCGTTTGTGGCGGTCTATCATTTTGTATTRAAAATTTTTGCGGTTCTGATATATCAGTCTAAAAATAGCCAAATTTTGAGTTATGGCAGTCTGGTTCCAAGGGTGCGATATGATCATTCATAAGACTACATTTGCAAATAAAAGGTTAACAATTAGAGTTTATTGTTTTAAAAAATTGTAAATCTTAATATTTATTAAATAACTATTATTATTTAAATGTTTACTAAAAAAATTTAAAAAAAGGGACTCTTTAAGTCTACTTCGCCTACATATAAATTTTACCTCGCGCTGCCACTGCTATTAATGCAAATGCGCTACACTGTGCGTAATATTCAGAAATTCAGATTAAATATATAGAATATATACATAAGATTTTTCTTAAGCTACCTGTTAGTAAACTACACATACAATTCACATAAAGAATAAAATAAACTAAATAACTCACGACACCCTAATAATAACAGGAATGATGATGGGTTGTTGACGGTAGATGGTTGTTTATGGTTACYTAATTAATGAATAAATTAATTTATTGTTTATTTAATTAACCTATGTTTTCGCAAAGGATTTTGTACCACCAGGCTCCTACGGGGGAAGCGGTTGGCCTAGGATGRCAATACGAAACCCCAGAGTACACGTAACCAAAGAACAGATGTACACGGAACGGGTGACCCTTTTTTTATATAAATAATACTTCACAATATAATACTTGATGCGCCTAGCGCATAATACACAATATAATCAGTTCAATAATACAATAAGTGGTGCGCCTAGCGCATAATACACGATAAAATAATACAATYGATGTGTGGGCGCCYAACTAATAAATAATAACAATGATATGAAAATTAGATTGACCAAATACGCGTGATCATACAAATATAATGGTTAATGATCAATTCGATCAGTACGTAATACGTAAACAATAATCAATAATGATAATACGAATGACAAATTGACAGCAGTGAAATAATAAGTATAAATGATAATATAATTTGATATCACCCGGCACAGATATATATAATAAACTAGATTGCTAACTGGCCTATACAGCCTGTGTATTTAATTGAAGGCAACAATCCGTCATTTTAATCGAGGCCGGAACACCATATCACTTATTATTTATATTGATAACAAATGTTTTTTTTTCGATATTAGAAAAATAATTCTGTAAATCACAATTAGTTATAATTAATAATTATATAAATCAATTCAATTAAATATAATTTTAAATATTTTTAGTTTTACATATA